GTCGATCAGTGCAACACAGAAAGACTTTGTTATCCATTTGTGCAGAAACCTGCTCCACCTTCTAATTCCCGTATATTCCCAGGGAGTCGGAAACTCGTGCTCACCGACAACCTCACACCATGATCAACAATCCCTTTCTGTATCTTTACACATCCCACGTCAAGAAGCTGTAACCATATGAGCAAACCAGGCTACTACTACGAGTATACTAAACAAGCAGTGTGACGTGTGGTGGAAGGAAAGGGACGGTTACAGTAGATAGAACATGTGGAACCAACATGTAGCAAGTGAAAAGCTAAGCCACGATCAGCTTACTGTCTGTGATTGCCGCTAAATAGTCCTGTGCTCGCGGTTATGTTAAGAGAAAGACACAGTTTTAGTGTATTCCTGTACTAATGAAAATGAGTTAAAGATTTTCTGAAACGTCATGTTGATTTATACTTTGGTAGGCAACATGTTTCCGACGTAAATAGTTTATCTTCGGTCATCTTGCTATAATCGTAAACCATTCTAATAATGATCAGTGTCTAATGAAATCTAACTGTTTACGTCCAGAAACTTTGGACAATATTCTTAAAATCAGTATAATATAACTTCACATTAATATTTAAGACTTTTGACAGAGGACTATAGTTCGAAATAGTGTTTTTGTGTAGTATTCTCCATCTCATTCATGGCGTAATCCCGCACACAATGATGGATGATGAATTTCGGTCAGAATCTTTATAAAACTATTTTAAAATATATAAATATTTAAAATATCCGTCAATCACAATAAAATTAAAAGATTAAAATATCATATTATGTTCCCTATCGAGTACTCGATTTACATATGGAACTTACACAACATGTTTCGGCTAAAAGTAGCCATCTTCTGGTGTATTATATATAAACTTTTTACTGAATTGCTTTTTACAATTTTAATGACTTTTAATGATTTTTCTTCTGATGTTTTGTCCTTTATATTGATTCACTATTCGTTGTAGTACCATTTGTTGTGGTATCCCAGGTCGCAAATATGTTAATTTACGTATTGATGTCGAAGTTCGTATATGGACTGTGAAGTAAATGTTTTAATATTAATGAAAATGAATATAGAAAACAAAATAATACTCGATAGGGAACATAATATGATATTTTAATCTTTTAATATTTAAATTTTATTGTGATTGACGGTTATTTTAAATATTTATATATTTTAATACTATTCACAATATGACGCATCTACAATACCTTATAAAACTATTTTATTCACCAATAATTAAATTTAAAATAACCAAGATACATGAATTAATAACGAAACTGAACCATAAACATATTTCTTACCTCGTGTACCCACTATTTCTTGTATTGTTCTGTTCTCTATGTTCGGTTAGGACGTAATTATTCCGCCATATTTACTTCGTTCCTTCTTACCCGTATTTTCAGTTCTGTTTCTTCAATCACACTCTTCATTGGTGTTCCACTGTTTCAGAGCATGCATCATAATCTTCATTCTGTGGTTCAGAATGAACTGCAGTGACCACATTATGATGATGGACCCTTGCGTTAGTTATGCCAATGTGATATATGAGGGAGATCGTCAACACAAATAATTAATTCGTTCCGAAAAAAATGTATTCAAAGTTTTATGAAACCGTGACTGACAATAATCGGCTATTCTCGAGTAATGTTACGAATTTAAAAAAATGTTTCAACTAATATTTCTTGGTTTATACAACCATTTATGGGACACCGGTAAATTGATCCTTTGGGACCTTCTCTCTCCAAAATGGAACTTATTCTTTGTCTTGGAAAAGTAGAAAATAGAGGCTCGAAACTTTTAGCAGTTCTCATGGCCATGAAAATGGCAAAGTTCTTACTCGTTTGTATCATTTCGGTCCAAGAATGTTACTTAAGTCTGGATAACAGATAATCCAGTTTCGTCCATGAAGTACATTCCTGAATTTAGAAACTTGTGTTATCCATGAAATCTTCCAGAATCTTAAAAAAAAAAAAAAAAAAAAAATCACACCTGTTTCGTTGGGCCCAGTTATTCTGGTGGCTTCTGGTTTGAGAAGGCTAACTTTTGGTTTTAGTATTAAAATATATTAAAATTAGGGTTTTAGCTAAAAAAAGTCGGCAAGCCACTGAGCAATTGTGATAAATATAAACGTTAGACCACTCTCGTAAAAAAAAATGATTTGGGGTAATATCTCATACTGTGTGGAATTGCCCTCCAAGCGAGCCGCCATCTTCTGTCTCACCAACAGACTCGCTCTTATTTAAGAAAACGATTAATTCAACGAATTTATGCTATAAAGCAATGCTCGTTTCGAAGGGTCATATGAGCAAACAGGCACACCAAATGAAAAAGCACTTGGCTGTCATGTACAGTTCCAGAAATTTTATCGAATAAGTCAAGTTTTTTCTAGGTGGTGACCAAAAGTTAGCACATCAGTCTCTTATTGCTCAGTTCACCTGCACTAATGTTTTCAAGTAACGCGTATTTATATACAGAATTAAAGCTTCATGCTACAGGAAGGCTTTATTATTTCCGGCTCTCTTATCCGAGAGAATCAATTCTCTCAGCGCCTGGGAAAAATCAAGACTGATTTGATGATTATTTAATTGATTGCATTTAACGACATCAGTGACAATGTTAACTAATACCTTTCTGCAAGGGTAAAGCCAGTGCGTTGTCAGTGCAGAATATTTTACCATTACGTACACATTTACTTCGGAATGCAGGTAAATGATTTTTAACAAGTTTGCCTGAGTATACATTCTCTAAAATGCTAGGGGGATACTCGGAACGACCCATTCTTCAAGTGCCTGAGCACTGCGGGTCCAAACTTTTGTTGGCTTTGGTATATAGACAGTCGGTAGGACACCTTGGACGAGGGATCGGCCCGTCGCAAGGCACACAGGACAGCACAACACAGAAGAACGCGGACAAACATCCATGGCTTGAGTAGGATTCGAACCCACGGTCCCATCGACCAAGCGCACAAGGCCCACGTCTCAGACCGCGCGGCCACTGTGACAGAAAATGCTTGAAGAATGCTAAATGAAATTTTGTATGAATCAATAGAATGCGGTGGAAATTCTTCGTAATTCACATTATCAAAAGCCTCATCTCTTGTAACAGCGACAGCCGGCCTTTGAATTAATTCACAAAGAGTGCTTAAGGAATCTACTGGCAG